TGTAGCATGAGTTGTCGTTTGGCGTGGTGGTGTAGGCCGAATGTTTGTCATGGCCGCCCGTAATTTCTGGACAAAAGTGGGGTCTGGGGGTGTGATAAGTGGCGTTGGGGTTAAGAATTCGCCCGGAAGCCGCAGGCTAGATCCGTATACTAAGTCTGCTGCCGAGAATCCGCTGCCCTCCTTCGTGGCCGAACGGATGCCAAGCAAGACTAATGGAAGGTTGTCGATCCAATCATCAGGGCGTGCTTGAGCTCTTAGGGCAGCTTTTAGTTGTCTATGAAAGCGTTCTACCATTCCGTTCGACTCAGGATGGTATGCTGTGGTTCGGTTATGTGTGGTGCCGAGGAATTCCATAAGTTCCTTCCATAGATATGATTCGAACTGTCGTCCTTGGTCGGTGATGATGACAGAGGGGCTGCCAAAACGGGCGACCCATCCAGAGAGGAAAGCCTGGACCACTGACTCACCTGAGATGTTGATTAATGGGATTGCTTCCGGCCATCTGGAGAATCGATCGATGCAGGTGAGTAGATAAGAATATCCTCTTGCCGACGGTAATGGTCCAACGATGTCTACATGCACCACCTCGAAACGGTCAGAAGGTAACGGAAACTGTTGAAGAGGGCTCTTTGTGTGACGATGTGTTTTCGCTCGCTGGCACTGGAGACATGAGCGAGTCCATCGTCGAACATCGGCATTGATTCCTGGCCATACAACACGCTCCGTTAGTAGTTTCTGGAAAGCACGTACTCCTGGGTGTGCTAGGGAGTGAAATACTGAGAACGTTTTCCAGCGAAACTGGGCAGGAATGTAGGGCCTAAGTGCTCCCGTCCGTGAGGTGTCACAGATTATACTTCCGCCACCTTCCATGGGAATCTCGATGAACCGGAGAGCTGTGTCAGATGTTCGTAATCGCTGCAGATCAGGGTCTTCCCGTTGGGCCTTACTGATTACACAATAGTCCACCTGAGCTGGGTTTGTCACGACGTGGTTTATGGTGGGTCGAGACAGTGCATCGGCTATGAGATTATTAGTTCCTTTGACATGACGGATATCCGAGGTAAATTGGGAAATAAATCCCAGGTGGTTGGCTACTCGAGGAGAGTGAGCATCACCCTTGGCCGCCAGCGCATAAGTGAGAGGTTTGTGATCTGTGAGGATGTGGAAGTTCCGCCCCTCGAGAAAGTGCCGGAAATGTTGTATGGCTGAGTAGATGGCGAGCAGTTCCCTATCAAAAGTGCTGTACTTCTCTTCAGTGGGTGACAGGCGCGCTGAAAAGAATGCAATTGGGCGCCATTCTCCTTCAATGAGCTGTTGTAGTACAGCACCAATTGCTGTGTTTGAAGCGTCGGTAGAGAGATTGGTGGGAGCGTCAGACACTGGGTGTGCGAGCAAGGTGAATTCCGCCAGCTTGTGTTTTATGTCGGTGAATGCTGTCTCTGCCTAGGGAGTCCACTCCAACGGAAGACGGGACGTGAGTTTCCGACCATGTAAGAGGTCGTATAAGTGTCGCAAGATGTCCGAACAATGTGGGATGAATCGATGATAAAAATTCACTACACCAAGAAATTCTTGCAACTTCTTTGGAGTAGATGGGCGCGGGAATTCCTTGATTGCCTCGATTTTCTTCTCTAGTGGTTGGACCCCTGCTGCTGACACCCGGTGTCCCAAGAAATCCAGCTCTGGAACATGGAAAATACACTTCTCGGAGTTGAGCTGCAAGCCGAAGTTGCGCAGACGGGTGAGAAGGAGTCGGAGGTGTAGCAGATGTTCTGTTGGTGATGTACTGGCCACCAGCAGATCGTCAATGTAGGCGTAGCAAAAAGGAAGGTCCTTAACTACTTGGTCGATGAAGCGTTGGAATGTCTGGGCTGCATTCCGTAGACCAAAAGGCATCCGGACGAATTCAAACAGTCCAAAAGGTGTTGTGATCGCTGTTTTCGGAATGTCTGCCGGTTCCACAGGGATCTGGTGAAATGCCCGCACAAGGTCAATTCTCGAAAAAAACGGTTGCGTTGCTCAGTCCCTGTGAGAAATCCTGGATGTGTGGTATTGGGTAGCGATCCGGCAGAGTGCGAACGTTGAGAGCCCTGTAGTCTCCGCAAGGGCGCCATTCCCCTGGGGCTGTTTTCGGGACCATATGGAGAGGTGAAGCCCATGGACTGTTCGAAGGGCGGATTATTCCCGCCTCCTGTAGCTTATTGAATTCAGCACGTGCTACCGCCAGTCGTTCCGGTGCCAGGCGGCGTGGTCTGGCGAAGGTAGGTGCTCCCGTTGTAGTAATGTGATGCGTAATCGTATGTTGCACCTCAGGTCGAGGGCTGGCGGGTTGGGTCACATCTTTGAATTCATCCAGGAGTGTTTGAAGTTCCGTAGATGCGACTGGGGTGACGATGTTAACTTGTGGTGAGGTACTAGGAGAGGCTCGAAGTACTGCACCTGCGGGATCCACCATAAGTCGATGGTGTTGCAGGAAATCCCATCCAAGAATGGGTTGTTCCACATCCGCTATGAGGAAAGTCCACGTAAAGCGACCCAGAGAGGCGAACTCGAGAACCAGGGCGCGGGTCCCATATGTACGGACGGACGTACTATTGGCGGCTCGTAAGTCCAAACCAGGAGTACGGGTTGGTTTGACCAGTGGGGGAGGCAACACACTAGCTGCTGCACCTGTGTCAACGAGGAAACGGCGTTTGGTTATGTATCTCGCAAGTGTCTGCTCTAGACCACACTTGAAAGTAGACTAGTTAGTGTTTGCTATTCTTGCTGCTTATATTGCTCGGGCAACACCTCACCGTGTTGCCCGGGCAACGCCTCACCACATTCATCTCCAAAGGTTGACAGGAATATTAACACTATATTTGGAGCGAGTATATTATTGGGATAATCTACTCGCTACAGATCCTAAAATGTTAATGATCCACTGACTTGAGTGAATCAGTAATTATGGCATGAATTTAGGCTATAATGGACAGTCTGCTGACAGCCGTATATTGAAATATTTGTATAGCCCAAATAGTTAACACATAATTGGTGTTAGTGATTAATATACAGGTTATGAGCTGTTGCTCCTGGTGACCTAAAGATTCTTACTTCAGTATGAAGTGTAGGCCTAAGTGTTGTGGGTAATTGACTGTGTCCCACGAGTGCTACCTTATACATGAGGTATAAGTAGCAATGAATTGGTGTGAATTAGGCTAACCTATGTGTTACGCTGTCGGTAGACACAATTAATTAGAATGGTTAGTCTAGACTACTTCACACGGTGATTAGTTATTACTAATTAGTATGTATATTTATATTTATGTTTATCCGGTTCGATAAGGACCATAATGTGGGATATCTGGGCCCTGACTCAATTTATTTAATTATTAAATTAATGAAATCAATTACGAAGGACCACCCACTTTAAGAAAAGAGGGAAACTAATAAAAAGTGATCATTAGAAACACAAGGAAGAACCAGTGTCTATGGATAAATGTTATGAAGCATAATCACTTAAATAATTAATGGGCTGTATAGTTAATTAACTTAAATCAAAGCCTCAAACACCTACATTGGGGGGTATTGCTAGAACTTCATATACGTCTAGGAACTAGTGTGGTTCGTGCACCAGTTCATTGTGCAATAACTAATCTTATGACCAAATTATTAAAGAATCAGAAGAAGATTATCACCAGAAATTATTAAGATTATTAGCATTGGAAATAATCATCAAAATAAACACATATTGTCTCCAGTGCACATGGCGAGAATCCTATTAAATAGAATCGTAACTAAATAACAAGATATGGAGTAATTATATGGGTACAAAAAAGTCTTAGCTTTAAGACGATTTCTAAGACATCATCCACGCCTCGTCCACGTGATCTCCGAAATTCCTCGTAGAAGCACTTAGAGGTGAATAGCACAAAGTTAGGTAACAGCTCGTTGACGCCTCACATGCGAGCTGTAATTTAAGGGATATTACGTAGCATTGAACTAGGCTACTTGAATCATAATATCCATGAAATATAAATTAAAATTTAGTGCGGTACTAACGTTGGATTTGTTGTGGTCGTACGATATAACGACAAGCTGCCCATGACATATACAATCTCTAATGATGCATCAAAAAAGAACTATATACTTATCAGAGGGTGCAAATTATGCTGAAGCTTGCCGGTATCGCGTCCCAGGCTCAAACGTCCACAATGTCGTACACGTGGTTGATAGCTTGGCCTGAATATCGACGCGCTATTAGTTGACCCAGCTCTGCAGATCACGTAGAACAATAATAATCCGTTCAGGGTTGAGTATCAGGGTAATTCTTGCTGACAATCTCAACGTCATGTGTCTCAGACTCTGACGCCACGACCGTTGTTGCTCAATTCCGCAACAGGAGACTACCAAGCCACACACAATGGCTTCTCCCTTCTCAACCGTGTCCCGCATTCACCACAGAAATTATTTATCATGAATATTATTATTTCGCGCAATTGTGGTTGAAATACTTTAATAAAGACTGGGTTGTAATTCTAGGGATTTAAATATTATTACTTTCTCGTCTTATGGTAGTAAACAAGAAATGGAGAAGATTATAGTTTTCTCCATGGCATTCACGCGTGACGGTAAAATTATTACTCAATAACAATTGTAATTAAAACTCTCGATTTAGTATTATTTGGGAGTTTTGTTATCCATAAATAATAATCACACGGAATATTGATGATTTTAGAGAATCACATTCAATTCTCTAACACACTGGTTACAAATGTGTTTAGTTAGATATAATCTGACGCAATACTGGTGCTTGGTTTCGTAAGAATTCCAGTATCCATATGCAGATATAATAGTCAGTTCATGTGAACATTACTGTTAGTAAGTTTTAGTAACTACAGTAGTTAGTATATTTTAATACTAATTTATTATAATACAATAGTATTGTATTAGTGTTGGAAATTTCCAACAAAAGTAGCGAGCATAGCAGCGTAATGTTGGGTGTTTGAAGCACTGATAGTCTATTTCAGAGATCGGCAGACCTTAGCATAATGACCCTTTTTCTTGCAATTCATACACAGAGCCTCTCTAGCTGGACATCGACTGCGAGGATGTCGAGTGTGACCACAAAAGATGCACTTTAATCCACTAGTTGTAGCTGCAGAAACTGTGTCAACTTTTTCTTCTACACTTTCTTGTCCTCCTGAGTCCTCCAAGTCTAATGAGAGTGCCAAGGCAGCGTTTGTAGCCCCTGACTGAGCATAAGAGGCAGAAAGTTTCTGTGCCGTTTCTAGAGTGTGAGCCTGGTCAAAGGCTGACTGTAAGTCTAAAGTTTTATTTTCAAGTAAGCGCTGCCTTATTGTGGCAGAACGTAGCCCATTAATGAAAGCATCTCTCACATAGTTATCACTAGCTTCTACAGCAGTCACTGCTTTGAACTGGCAATCTTTAGCTAATAACTTTAATGCTTGAAGAAACCGGTTAAGCGACTCACCGGGTTCTTGGCGTCGTGTTGCAAGCACATACCTTGCGAATACTTCATTCTTGGGCTTCACAAACAGTTCTGTTAGGGATTTTTCAGCAGCATCATACGTAGTGCAGTCAGCTATGTAGTCGAACACGCGTGGAGCAACGTAGTTTATTAAGAGACGCAGCTTGTTCACGGTGGGGGTATTTTCTTCTACTGCTAGAGTGAAGTTTTGGAACGTCTTGAGCCAGTGACGCCATTCTTGAGCGGCGTTGGTGGCGTTTGGGTCAGTAGCAAACCGCTCGGGCCGTAGTAACCGCTCCATGTCCACTGGTTGAATGATTTGCTCAATAAATTGAGGTAAAGGAGAAGCATTGCCAGACATGTGGCTTTATTGAGGAAATAATTACAGTACAGTTACATCCTGCAATAACACAAGCCATATAATATACAATACTTATAATGAATAAACAGTGATTAAACTATATATAATAATAAGCAAACTGCACATGACTAACGCTAGAACAAATAGAAATTAAGCTAGGAGTTACATTCAACTAACCTGTACACAGGCACGACACAGCTGATCTGTCAACAACAAAACAGTCAAGGGAGCATCCAAACGAAACATTCAAGCGAGTGTGGTACAATACTATAATAACACTTTTACTACAGCGAGCAATATTGAGCTCGAATTCGCATGGGGAACAATAAAGCGCTCAATTATTACGTTAATTCACAGGTGAGCTCTTGGGTCAGCTCGGGTTATTAGTGCAAGATCCTTCTTGAAGGATAGCTAAGCACGGAATCTAGGCAGATTCTCTGGTGAGCTGTGCTCGAATTAGCACGGGGAGCATTGTAGCGTTCAGTTATCATGGCGAGCAGTGCTCGTATTAGCATGGGGAACATTAAAGCGCTCAATTGTTATGCTAACTCAGGGTTGAACTATATTGAGCTCATTAAGCATGTTAGATAACAATGCTTATGGTTTAATGGTAATGCATTAAACTATGAGAAACCTAACGTTGCTGGAAATTAAATTATTGCTACGATTAATCCTATTTGAAGATAATTTGTAACTTTTCCAATTTAAACGTTTCACGGGTTATTAATTCTCTGTACTTACACTAACATATTGGTAAGTTTGCAAATTTGTTCGTGCTGCAGTCCTACAGTAATAAGCAAAAAAGAAACGAAAGAAAAACAGCTCAAACAAAATTAATGCAAGTATTTTCAGCAACTCCTAGTGCAGAAAACGTTGAATTATTAAGGTTTTCTTGGCAAACCTTAAGTGCAGGTATTGTGGACCTTGATCCTAGTGAATTTATAAGTTTAGAAGTTGCTTGATGACTTAGTGATATTGATAAATTCAGGAATGCTAGATGCATTGGGTGCTAGATTCTCTAGCCTAATATTATTGATTACCTAGGGAGTGCTAGATTCTCTAGCCTAATATTATTGATTACCTAGGGAGTGCTAGATTCTCTAGCCTAATATTATTGATTACCTAGGGAGACTGAGTGTGGTCAATTATTACTTGTCGAGAATAATTCTAGGTCTGCAGTGGATTCAATGGCTTGGTTGCTGTGACACGTACCTGTTTAGGTACGGACCACTGATTTTCCACTGAGAGCTATGAAACATCTCGGCGAATACTAATTGTATTATATTCAATCTGGATTTATTACTCAGCTGGATTTCTCATTTAACTTGTTGCTGGAGATGCCCTCCCTGCTGTTCCTGGTGGTGGGGACGTGGCGTGTTTTGTGATGGGCGGCCCTATTCCCGCTGTCGTGCGGTTTAAACTCCATCGGATTGCAGTTTACTGGCCGTGCTGGTTACCCGCTGGTGGACGTGGTATTGAGTGACATGCTTCGTGTCTTGATTGGGGACGTATATGGCATTGAGCTGGTCATTGCTCACCATGTCATTATCAAGTTTGTGGGTGAGGCGGTGTACCATGCTTTCCTACGGAGGTACGAGGGACGTACTTTGCAGCTACAGGACGGCACTGGGTCTGTGACCATTTCAGACTGTAGTGGTGCTGTGACGTATGTCAGTGTTCATGGAGCCCCCATGGAGTTTCCTGAGACTCTCCTCCGGCGATTCTTCCAGAGGTACGGCTCCGTCATCAGTGTGCGGATGAACTCACTGTCGTCTGGCACGTATTCGGATGTGAAGACCAACATTCGGACCCTCGGGATGCGACTGAGGTCGGACATACCGTCCTCTGTCCGGCTGTTGGGGTACTACGTGCGGGTGATTTATGCCCGGCAACCCCGTACTTGCTTCCGGTGTGGCCTGTTGGGGCATCAGGCTGCCGGGTGTACTGCTGATCCGGTCGCTCCTGTGAACTTGTTCCGTGAGGAGGATTTCCCGCCGCTCCCTCTGGAGGAGGACTCCGGGGGTGAGGAGGTGAGCGTCCCGTTCGCTGCTGAGGCTCCCCCAGCATCACCCGACGTTCCCCTGGTTGTCGCAGACCCTCCTCCGGGTGTTGCGGTGCCATCGGATGTTCCTCCTGACCATGTATCTGGCCCTGCCGTTCCCATGGACCTTCCTGGTGATCCCTGTGGAGTGTCGCCGTCGGCTTCCTCGTCTTCGGCTGTGGAACCTGGCCCTGCATCCTCCCCTCGGGTCCCTCCTGTGATGGGTGCTGGGGTGGCTGCGGAGCCTCCTACTGTTTGTGGTCCGGTTCCCCCTGTGGTAGAGGCTGCTGCCGTTCTGAGTCGGGCGTCGGTTCGTCCGGCTAGTGGTGCCTGTGCCACTGGATCTGCTTCTGGCTCTGACGATATCCGGCTGGAGCTCAAACGTTCCAGGCGTTCGTCTACAGCCTGGGCTGATGTTGGGGACTTTAGTGACTGTGGGTCTTCAAGTGTTGACGGCGTGGATCCGGCTGAGTCGTTGTCTCCGCGGTTGGTGGTGGCGGAGGTTCATGTGCCTGCTGGTGCTGATGCCCGTGTCTCGGGTGTGTCTCCTGTTTCTTCCCCGCCCGGGGACTTTCCGCTATGGGGTGTGGTGGCTTCTGCTGCCAGGGATGGTGTGGATGCTGGTGCTGGGCGTGGCCTGGTGGTGACTTTACGTAAGGATCCGCACCGCCATGATTCCCTGCAGTCGTCTGGTGGTGTGCCCATGGCCGCTGGTGCCCCTGTGGTGGTGCCCTATGTCGAGCCCCCTCATGCGGTGTTGTGCATTGAGGACCTGGAGGCTCGAGTTGCCGAGTTCCTGCTGCTTGAATGGGCAGAGGACTTTTCTGGTGGGCAGGTTCCGGGTGTATGGGATAGGGTGGCGGTTACTCGCGTCCGGAGGGACACCGTGTGGGTTCCATGTCTGCGGGTGTTTGTTGCCGAGGTTCCGGTTCACATGGTGCAGTCGGTGTTAGGTCACGCCTCCTGGACAACGTGGCTGCTTTGGGAGGCGTTCAATGTGCGGTTTCCACCGGATATGTTCCCGGGGAAATATGTACACTGATTTCATGTTACTGTAGTTGTTGTTTTTGTTGGTATTCTTGGCTTGTTGGGTGCTGTGCGAAGTGTCTTGTTATGTTTCTTGATGTACTTTATGTTGTGTTTTATTCTCGGTCCTTCAGGCCAGTGCATGTATGTTGTTGTGTTTGTTTTCTGGTTTGCTTGTTTATTATTATTGTTTATTTTGGCCTCGCCCTTTGTTTGTTGCGGGGCGGATGGTTTAGTGTGAGTGTTTTTATTCCTGTATTGTTTCTGTGCTGTACGTTTGCACTGGTGTTTTTCATATTGTTTTACCTGTTGTACGTGTTTGTTCTTTATGTTTTGTTTGGAATGTATTGTGATTGTCCTATTCTGTTTCCTGTTATGCCTCTTGATGTATGTTTTGTTTTATGAAGGTTTTGTTTTGTGATGTTACTGTGCTTGCTTGTTTGCCATTGTATTATGTTTTGTGCCTTGATGTATGCTGTATTTTTCTATGCATTTATCGTGTTTGTGTTTTGTTGTGCTGTGCTGTCTGCCCTTCTGACAAGTGGTCTATTGTTTTAATTTGTTCTGTTCTATTTATGTAAAAAAAAAAAAAAAAAAAATGTATTACATTTAATCTGGATTTATTACTCAGCTGGATTTCTCATTAACTTGTTGCTGGAGAATTGATTTACTGGTGACTAATTTATTATTGTTGGCAGGCATAGGCTTATTCATATTGAGAACTTTACTTGTAAGTAATTAGCCACCTGCAGATTGGAACATATTCATGCCCAATTGTTTAACATGTCCAGTGATGAAATGGTAATAGTAGTCTGCTCCAACTAGTACATTTACATTGTTAAGGCGGTCATTTGTCAGCCAAATTAATTTCACGGTACTGCAGGAAATGGGCTGTGTAACCCAGACCCTTAATATTTAGGTCAAAAGGTATTTGATCCACAACAATGGCCTGGATAGCCTTGACATGACTACCTAGTCGTACAAGCGGTTGAACTACTGAATATTCTTGGGATCCTCGATTTATCATGAACCCTGACAGGTTTAATTTTACCTGTCTGATTGGTTGTAAATTGAGTGCCTCTGCTGCCTTCTGAGTAATGAAAGTTCTCTGGGATCCTTGATCAAATAGTCCACGAGTGGTGATCTTGATCCCTTTGTTCTTTACTTGAAGTTGGGCAGTGGGCAAGGTTGCATTCACTTGAGACGCTGGTGAAATTACGCTGTACACATCTCGCACCTTGCAGCACTGTACTGGTGTAGATTTTTTACATCCTATTCTAGGATTGAAATAATTTGTTTTGACAAATTTGCACAGTGCAGCATTATGCTTGCCCCTTCTACACCTATTGCAGGTGTTCAGTGGGGTTTCACAGCTGTTAACATTATGTGATTTGAAACACCTAGTACATTTATGTAACTGTTTGAGTCCTCTGACTCTTGTGTCTCTATTGGGATGATACATTTGTACAGAGAATGTTTTTGATTGCAAAACAAACATAATCCCCATCCTACAGTTCGTTTAGGGATCACCGGTTTAGGTGAAACTGCAACTACAGGTTGTGAAGGTTTAGCTGTTTCCATTTGCCTGTTATTTATTCTCTTGTGAGTACTAGTTGTACTCTGGGGGAGCAATTATTGGGCTCTTGGGAGTACTCATTGGACTCTTAGGAGCACTTGTGGGGCTCTTAGGTCCCTTAGGAGCAATTATGGGGCTCTTAATTAGGTCTTACTGATGAATCAGTGTTTGACCTGTTGTTATTACATTGGTTATTAGTAACCTTATTACCTAGTGACAGTGTCACTTTAGGAGTTTCAGGTAAGAAAACTGATGTGGGTACAGTTTTTGTGCATTCAGAAGATTTATTAAATGCCTGGCTTGCTGATTGATTGATTATATTGTGCAAACCTGCGAATATATCCTGCATTGACAGGA